CAAAACACAATTCCCTACTTTTTGGTGTCCTGATTTCTGCTGTGTGGTCAAGTGTTGTTTGCAGCGTATTTTTACTTTATTATCATACCATTTAATGAAGAATTGATTTATTCTTTTCTGGTTGCAACATAACATAACAAAAATTTGCCGACACCAAAAATCATCGTACAGCTGATGGTTGCGAATACACCCAAGCAAAGCAAAATACATGGCTGAAGCAATCCTATTTGGTTGAGGGAGTGTGCGCGCATGTTCGAGCAAAAACACCAGCCTTTTTCAGTTAAGGGGAGTTAGAGAGTAGGCATGTGTGTTAACAAGAAAGCGACAGCGAGGGAAAGAGCAGAAATGAAGGCTTCACAAAGTTTTTAAATCGTTTTAACACATAACTGATCATGGATAGAATGGTTAGGAGTTCTCACACAAAGAATAAACGTAAATAATAGCCCTCTTGATCATACAATACCAAAAAAATCTGTCCTTTTCAATTTGAGACAAATAGGTCGTCCTGGGTGCCAATAATTGCTATATTGGTTACTTTGGCCTCAATTTTCGGCCTCAAAACGACCTTTGAGGTCATGGCCACATAGTCCATGCTACTTTCCGCATAAAGTTGTATCTGTTCCCAGAGCTTGGAGTTGGGAGTTTTAAAGATGTGGACGTGCATAAGGAATAGACCCATAGAGGCTATATATATAAGATTTAATTGGGAGTAAGTTCCTTATCACAACTGGGTGGAAAAGGTTAATTGTGGGTTTTAACTGCGGGAGGTTGTGGCTTGAGCTTCCATATTTGCTCGTAATTTGTGAGGCTTGCGATTACCAGTTAAATCCGATAGATGGTGATCTGTGTGTTGTCCTGTTGCCATTGACATCTATCTTATTAAAGTACATTTTACACTTCCTATAATTTACTTTGAATACTAGTTTTATGTGTGACGCTCTTTGTTCTTGGCATTTTAAATATCATTAAAAATATGGTGATAATGTTTTTATCTAATCTATCCCTTATATATTAAAATTAATGTAACTGCAATGAAATGTACATAAATATAATTAGACATCAATAAGAAAGTGTGATTGTTAATGCGTTGCTTTATTGTGCAAAGTAAAGAAAATATTTTCTAAAAGGAAATAAATATGGGATGGCTAATATCAATCCTTCAAAAACAATGCAAACAAGTTATGGGGATGGCATTTGCATCATCCCTACATAATAGCACAGGCATACAGTGTAGTAGAATGCTAACAGACAAAAAATAGGATAAATTAAACTCAACTGTGATTGAAGAGTTATATAGATTGCTATATGTTAACTGTTGTCTGTGCTATTATGTAAGGATGATGCAAATGTAGCTTTGCGCTAAAAACAAACCATTATATGTGTAGAAAGATGAGTATTGTTGATTATTTAGTGATTTGTCTATTCTAATCCAGTAGTTTTAATCTAGCATAATTCGTAGTTGCAAATTTTTTTTTAACTGTATAACTGCGAGTTATAAGGCTGAATGAAGAAATCCACATTTCTAATTTCAATTTTAACCATTTTTACTAGTTCTGATATGCTGTATATAATTCTTACATCCAATATATATATAATAGCTATAAACTGAGTAAGCGAATTACTAAGGACGAAAGCGAAGTCACCTGTGCTCTACGAAATTCTGATCGTGTTTCTATCAATGCCTTAACCTTAATCAATAGTATTTTAGACTTTGCATTTACTAGCGTCTATTAGAGCTTCTTCATCTAAACACTCACTGTAGTCAAACTTCTATGAACTCTATTGAGAGAGATAAAAGACATTTAATTGAATTAGTAGTTTTAAATTAACAACTCAATATTGGATTAATGTACCATAGAATGAAGGCAGTAATGGCATATGCTTTCAGTTTCGTTTATATATTTGTTATGGCGTAGAGTTTGTAGCTAAGCAAAGCTGATGTATAATTAAAGACTTATATAAGTAGTAATTGTTTTCTTAGTGACGGGTGACTCATTAAGAAACAACTGTTGATGATTTACTGAATTACAAAGAAACAGATAAGTATTAAAAAACTGACGTAAAAAT